AGTTTGTTGTATGCATCTGGACTACCTTGAAGGGAAAATGTTTTTAAAAATGATGAAAATTTGCCAACTAAATTCAGCGAATAAAACACAAGTTAATGGAACGTTTCTTAGCAGTAATAATTCATAAATTTCCACTGTTACAAATGAATGGCTCATTTTTTTGATATCCAAAAGACGTGATTGTTTTTAGAAACTCTTTCAGGTTGCAATATTTTGTTCTGTGATGTTTTCGAAGCCATAAGAAATAAATTTAACGTTTTCAAGCTCCATTGTTACCGTTTTTGTAAGTTCCAATTTTTTCTTAAAGCGCATTGGGCGCCATTTTAAATAAGATTAAGGAGTGCGCTCGGGCCGAAAAACGCCATTTTTTGTCAAACATTTTTCACAATCGGTAGAAACGTCATTTTCTGCCTTTTTTCACAAATTAGCCTGCGGCGCATAAATTTTTTGATAAAATAGCGTCCTTATAGTATTTTCGGAGAGCTCGGGAAATCAAATTGGTCGAACAAAAAAAGGTCGACAAAACTTTTTTTTTCTCGAAAAACCGCCCCCACACACCTAGAAAAACTTTTGCGCACGCCACTGATTTATTGCTAGCTTTTTGTATAAATACTAAACTAATTAAACTGTCATGATAAGAAATATTAAAAAAAACTTTTTTACCGTTTGCAATTGAACTTTCAATAATGATGTTAAGGTTTCTGAAAACTCCAGCTGCAGTTAACTATATTCAATTATTATTGATCATGAGATTTAAATTAAGTAAATCGAATATTGTTGCGTGGATTTACTTTCGTTGGTTCAAATCCGTTTTTTAATTGATTTTAATCCATTTCATTGATTGTGGTAATACTTTGGATAAGTTTTCATGAAAGTTTTTTCATACGTTTTTCAAAAGGGTGGCACATTACAATGCTCCAAAACAGAAGACTAATTTGCGGATGAATTTCTAAGTATTTTCGACTTTCATTCGTCTAAGTTAATCATTCGAATAGTTTTTGTTCCAGTAATTTTTAATAGTCAAATTGAATGGTAATGTCAAAAGTTCATTAAAAATTCAATGCAAGTTTTACAACGGTATCTTTATCATGTGAAAATTAAAATCAATGGACTAAATAGCTAAAAGATCATAGCTAAAAGAATTTGAGAGTGATGCCTCGCCTGATCCACTGCAATTTGTTAGCAAAGCAAGAATACTGGGATAAGACTGCAAATAAAATTACATGAAACCGGTGTTCACGTATTCTGACTATCGCAAAAAAAGTGGAAGACCAAATAATGCAGGGTCGCTTTTCTCAGAAAAAAGCTCTCCAGAAAAACTCGATATCCGCCTTCAACTTCTTCAGCTGCCAATGTCAACAAAAAAATTCGAAAATATGATGAAGGATCAACTTTGCTCAGGTATCAATCTGGAGGATTTTCTTATTAGCATCTAACATAAAAAAAGATAGGTTTCTGGCGCTTTGAAATTTTTTCATTTCGATAAATAGTCAGTTATTGCATCGTGATTCTTAAAACAGAATTAAATTCTAGTATAGAAAGAACGATGTGCAAAGCTGTGCATTTTTTCGTATTCAATAAAAATTGCTAAGCTTCAAGCTCATTTTCGGCTTCAAGATATCGCGGTTTGTTGATATGTTGGTTTGTTGAGCTTTTCTTTTATTGGTCACTGATTTGGATACTCAGATAATTAATATCTCATTAATTGGGGCAATGACGAATCTCACTGGAATTAATTTACAGTTCACTGTACAAAAAAGCTGTTTAATAAAAATAATGTAAACTTTAAGCGGCACTCCAGCCGAGGTCCGCGACTTATGTTGCGACCAAACTGGGCCACGGAAATGGAATATTTGCAAATTGCGTACTCTCATTCGAGGTTTGAGTCGCGTAAAGACGCAACAGATAAAATGGATCCCCAAAAATCCTAACAAGCGTCGCCCAAAGTCGCAAAATGAGTCAAGCAATAATAAACTTGAATCAAACAAAATTTTTCAAATATTTTTTGATATCACTTTCTCAGAAAAATGACCAAAAATTTTCTGCTTCAAAAACATTTTCTGCTGCAAAACTCACTCAAAAATAGTTTTATAACGCAAATTCTAAAATGAATGCAATTTTGGCAAACTGCTTTGTATGATTTTTTTCTGCCCAATTTCATGTGAAAAACACCAATTATAATTAAATTACAATCAAAATCGTCCTGCAAAACATTTTGGTTGCGCAAAACTGCCACATAATTTTTTGAGTCGCGCAAGTTGCATAACAGCCTTTTTGGGTCGAGCAAAATATGACAATAATGTAACTATAAGAGTGAGATATCTTTTTAGCAAGGCAATTCGGTCGCACAAAGTCGCATTATACCCATGTTGAGCCGCAATAGTTGTCAAAACCTTTTTTTTTCTTTGGCAAAAGTCGCAAAATATCTTTTTGCGCCGCACAATACACTTCGGTCGTGCAAAATTGCAATAGCAAAATACCCATACATGTTTTTTTTGGTCGCAATGGTTACAAGAAAACTTTTTTGGGTTTCAGTGGTCTCAAAAAAATCCTTTCTGAGACGCAATGGTCGCAATATAAATCCCCGACCTAGACTCGGTCAAAACAGCCACGCCTTAGAAAAAAACGACACGTGTTGACCTTCATCCTTCATTGACCTTCAAATGCGAATCATACAATTCCATTAACTAGATCTATGAAAAAACATAATTCATACAAATTTCATGCATTTTGCTAAAATGGTGTCATCGAATATTCAAAGGACTTTTTTCTTGTTTTGCATAAAATTCGGTGTATCGTACTAAATAGAAAAAAGAAACACTTTTCGTGAAAAAGAATGCTAATTTACAATTTCCATGTATGGAAATTGTATGACTAGCATTTTTTTGACGGCAACAAAAGAATTTTTCCAAATCGATTTGAAATTGCCCATTTGTTGTTTTGTTCGACCACAAATCGAATTTTGACTCAAACAAACATGTTCAAACTAACATTTTTTGCATGCAAAATTGAAATTTTTGTGTGCATATTGTAGTCTTAGATGCACTAATGTGGGCTTTTTTTCTTTTCGCTTTATAGTCTTTTTCAAAAAGGCTACAAACTCCAATTTAAAGAAAAATGCTATTCATACAATTTCCAAATACAAAAACAAATCACTAATCATAGAACTTTCATGCAATTTTTGTACTTATGGAATTGCATGAAAAGTGTATGATTAGCATTTTTCCATATATGAAAGTTGTTTGATCAGCATTCTTGGTCAACCCCGAGATATCAAAACTGCCAAAAGCGGCAAGCCCTCAACGCATGAGAATGGTATAGCCACTTAAGTCAAAGACAGTTTTTGCAACCTGGCCCACTTGAAGCGTGCATTGATTAATTTTTTCTTCTTTTTTGGACAAAAATTATGACTCAATTTACAGCAAATGAACCCTATTTTGGAGTAAATAAAAATTAGATAATTATAAAAATCTTACATAGGAACAGGGGTGGATTATTATTGACAGATTATCGAAGTGATTGGTTTCTATTGCCGAGAATGTGAAAAACACTTTGTTGCCTAATCAATGTTTACTAGTTACAGAGATTGAGCGCACACGGGGGGTAGTACAGGAGCGGTAGGACAAAATCAACTTGGTCAAACTTCTGCCCCTGCATAGGAAGCATTGAACTTTTTTAATTTTAATTTTTTTTATTGTTTTTTGATTTGCACATTTTGTCCCATTTTGTCTTGAAACAAATGCGTTCCTTATATTTAGCTCAAATCATCTTCTGGTCATTTTTATCTTGTTTGTCAATAAGTTTGCTCGTGATTCAATACTGCCTTTTTTTGAAAAGTCATTGGTATTGCTCAATTCGCTGCACATGCCAAACGTCAACAGAGAAATGGTATTTTTCAAACTCCGTAACTTACACAAACTGCCAGGTTTGACGTTTTAAAAACTTTGAGCTTAGAAAATCAAAATTTTTTGCAACAAAAAATATGTCAAAAAAGATTACTGAAACAGTCGAAATTGTTCTGAACAAAAAAACCGTCTCAAGCATAAATTTTTCGTTTTTCTTACAATAGTTGGAATAATACATACAAAATTAGTGTTAATGATAACAGCAAGCGATATAAATCAGCTATCAAAAATCAGTGCATATACAAAACAGTCCCATACAAAACAGTCCAATACAAAATAGTCCGAAACATCATGTAATGGAGGAAAAAAACAGTCCAATACAAAAACAGGTCGCGGCGTGAATCGGCGTTAACCTGCGTTAAACTTCGTATTATGTCCTACCTTCTGTTGGCAAGCTCGCAACGCGTTGGCGCCACACCTACGGTCACTATTTTGTTTATAAAGTATTTTCATACTTTTCGGGTACAGACACGCAAAAAACATCAGCAAACAATATGAATGAGATTTTTTGTGCGAGTTGAGATTTTTTGAAATGGACATTCAACTGCAATCATGTTTTTGCAAAAAAAAATTAATGGCAGTCTGCTACTGAATTGGTTGAGTTGAAAAAATGTCCAGTTTAGAATGATTCATTCGGCTAAGTTCTACTTTTCTGTTAATACGAGTATAAATCGGTTAATACGGAAAATCAATCGGACTCAAAAAGCATTTCAAACTGAAGCGAAGCGAAGTAAGTTATTCCAACGTGGCTTCATTAGATGGAGGAGTTATCAATTTTTACATGACTATGAGAATGGAGATTTATAAACAAACAAAAAAAATTCTTTTTCCTGTTTTTTCCTATTTTTTTAAATATATATTTTTCTATTTTTAAAAATTTTATCAGTTTTTATTAAACCAAAGTCTACTATGTCCTGATAGGTGAAGTTTTGTTCATTTTGTTACCTCCTGGCTTTCTATTTCAAGATCCGGCCTTACAAAATTAAGAATTTCGCTTTGATGCAGAATAATTTTTTGGACAGTAATTGTATAACGTACAAAAATTGATGGTAGAATATACCGTTAAAAACAGGACACACGTGCATATATGGTTCAAATCTACCTGTGTGTTTAATGTATAATAGCAGCAGCATTGATTCTGTTTGCCATGTTCACTTCAACGCACAATGAAATTGTAATAAAAAAACTTCAACGTGAAAATATAATTTATCACTAAAAACTGGTTTTTTCTTTGCAAAGCACAATTTGATCAAATTATGCCAGATAATTCTCTGCCAGCCTTGGAGAGGACTCCCCAGTCTCCCAAGTCTGGATCGGCACTGGCTGGTTTCGGAGGGACTGCTGGGACCACCTCGGAGCACCAGCTGTCCGAAGTAGCCGGAGTGAACAATCTGGATAAAAACAACACTGTGGCGGTTTACAAACAACGAGGTTGGTTTAGTTTTAATTATAGTTTGTTACACTTTTATCTTCGTTTTCCTTAAAAGACTAGAAATGTGCAGTCAAAACTTTGAAGTCCAATAAAGAAAACATTTTGGCAAATAGAGAAAAAAGTTTTTTTTAAAGTCTTTTTAAAAACATAGGGGTTTAATGCATGCGAATGGTTCGACTAAAAACTTTATCATTTAGAAAAAATTGAGCACAGTGCAATCGGAATAGTCTTTATTGCATTTTTCAGACATTGGTAAAAAATCGATGGAGTATATTCCGGAGGATCTTCTGTCAGTGCTGAGGAAACCAGAGCCACTTTCCAAGGAGGCCATCAAAAATAAAGTCAGGGTTCATTCGAAATTGATAACAAAAATTTTTTGTCCCAGACATAATTTTCTAGTATCTCGGTAGTTTTAACTGCTCTTATGGCTAACTGCGTAACTTTACGAAGATTAATTTTGAATTTTCATCGCGTTATGTGGCAACATTAAAGCTAAAGACGGGCAAAAAAGATCATCTTTTCGGAACCAATTTTCCAACCAATATTTCAATTGTTTTCGCAGATAATGGGAGGACGAGCCGATAATGCGTGGTATCATGATGACGTGGCCAAGAAGTATGAACACCTGCTGAAACATCCGCCCTGCACCTGTGGAATAGGACCACGGTTGGTTGCAGGCAGAATGTTGCAGATTCCGAAACCTTGTTTCGAGACCCTTGCACTTCTGCATTACCCCCCCCCCCACCACTACTCTAAAGAAAATATGTCAAGTGATCAAGTCGATTGATTTGAACAAATTATTTACTTGAAAATTTGTGTACGAACAATTTTTAAACCACTTTTTGCCAGTCAAGGAGCTGGGAAACTGGAAAAAAGGGCAATAATTCTGAGTAATTCAGAACCATTATTTAAGCATTGCAATACTAGGGAAAAAAGTGATTTTCATCAAATTAATTTCTAAAACTCGTTCGCGATATTTTGACTTTCATAAAATGTTTAATCAAAGATCTTAATTAAATTATATGGCAGTTAGGGCAAAAAAGAACAAAGTATAGTTGCTTCATTGTACATTTTTTTTTCAATCTAGAGACATCTCGTTTCTCTACGACACAGCTAAAGTGGAAGACAAACCCATGCCCATTCCCCCCGTGGGAGACAAGAGTGCCCCCCGGAAAGATGCAATGGACAGACAGACTTCGAGGGGGAGGAGGGGGAGGGAGCAGATGGAGCTACCTGACAGCATAATCCCTAAGGAGTTCCACCTGGTACAATCTAAAGCGGCATTGGGTCTGGAGTACAATAAAGAGTGAGTTGCTTTTTATAGTGCAGGGAGGGGGGAGGTTTGTAACAATACTGTTCACATTTAGGAGCAGGAGTCATTAGGGATCTAAAGAACGACGCCTCCTCTTTTTCCCAGCCTCAATAAAAAAAACCTTAAAAAAAAACTGACATCCCTCAAAAATTTAATAGCTCTTCGATTGTAAGCCTTTTATATTTATAACTATTATTATTTTTTCAGGATGTTTTCAGTGAAAACGAAAGATCACGAGGAGCACTTGACTAAGTTTCCTTCGCTGTAAGTTGCAAGAATCATTTCCAAAAAAGCAGTTATTTAATTTTCTTGCATTTTGCTCATTTCGGCCAAAAATCTGATTGTTCATTGAACAGAAAACCAGTGAGCCGCAAGGAAATCATCGAGCTGAAAAACGTGATGGACAAAATGATAGACGCAGTCGGCGCCACGGAGAGTAGCATCAGTCGTTCAAGCAGCCACATGACATCCAAGCCGACAACTGCTTCAGACGACAAGTCGCCCACGCAGATGCACAGTCTGTTAACATTAGTTAAACAGGAGCAGGATATTTATAATATTATCTTCCATGAGATCATAAGACAGACTACTGTTGAGTGTAAAGAGAGGGGAGAAATTCTGTCGGCTTTGAGGCAGAGGTATGCGGGGTTACTGGAGAAGGTGCCTAGACATGTGAGATCCATGCATGCGGAGGTCATGGCCCAGAGGGCCCTAGATCGAAGACTAACGGAGGAGCTGCTTAAGTTCAAGGGCGCCATAAACTCACTGACCAAGTAAGCTTAACTGCTTAGATAGATTTTTTTTTCATTTTATGATGAGTCTGAGTTTTATCTACATTTAGCAGTACCACTGACTTAAGTTTTTGGGAAACATTCTAAAAACCGAAATCAATTTGCTTAGCATAAATCTGTAGACATAAACAGTCCAGTGCTTTAATATTTGAAAAGATCGACTGGGTTTTAGTTTCTCTCTTCGAACCATCCTCCAGTACCAAAAGTTCTAAATTATGATATGGTCTTTCTAGTGAGCTGACAGATGTGCGTGAGCGTGAGCAGGCCATCTCGGAACAGTCTCGCAAGGCCAAAGAGGAGCTGAAGAACTCACTCATAGACTCAGAGAAAAATGCCAGGTAACCATTACTATTGAAAAACCGTACAGAGCAATGTTCATTCCAATAAGATCTTATATAAAACAAGACTGCTCGTATCAGGGCGAAGCCCTGAATGTTCCGACTGCCTTTTAAGGTTTATGGAGCAGTAATAACATTAAAAAATTCAATGAAATAAAACAAAATGAAATATTTTTTTCTTCTAAAATTTGAAATTTTTTATGAAAATCATCCCCCCACACGCCACATAAAGTACAAAAGGACAGATTTCGCTCCTTGTAACAAACCATTTATGACAATTAAGCTTCTTTTAACCAATTTGGAACGATTTCTAAGACGGATTAACTCTCCGCTTACGCGTTAACAGCGCGAATTATATCGCGCGTTAATTGTCCCTAATTGGCCAAAATGGCACTCTTTAAACCCCCATAACTTTACGAAAAATGATCACAGGTGAAATATCTTTTCAAATTTGAGCTCAGGAGAACAATACCTTTTGAATGATATAAAAAAGTTTCGTCAAAAATGGCTAGTTAAAAAGTCGAAATTTGTCTGAAGAAAAAAAAACCCACCCCGAGCACAAATATTCCGTTACTTTCGTACCGAAAGTCGGAACAACAAGACTGCTCGTATCAGGGCGAAGCCCTGAATATTCCGACAGCCTTTTAAGGTTTATGGAGCAGTACTAACATTAAAAAATGAATGTAATAAAACAAAATGAAAAAAAAATTCTGAAATTTGAACTTTTTTTTATAAAAATCATCCCCCCACACGCCAGATAAAGTACAAAAGAATAGATTTCGTTGCTAGTAACAATCAATTATGGCGAATAAGCTTATTTCCAATTTGGAACGATTTCTAGAACGGATTAAATCTCCGCTTACGCGTTAAAAGCGCGAAATATATCGCGCGTTAATTGTCCCAAATTGGTCAAAATACCAATCTTTAAACCCCCATAACTTTACGAAAAAAGATCACAGTAGAAACATGTTTTCAAATTTAAGCTCAGGACAACAATAGCTTTCGAATGAGATAAAGTCGAAATTTGTCTGAAGAAAAAAAAACCACCCGAGCACAAATATTATGCTATATGAAGTACGAGACAGTAAGAAAAAATAGTCTGCTCCATTTAATTTAGAATTTTTTCTGAATCGGACTATTTTACCGTTTATGCGTTATAGAACAAAAAAACATTGCCAGATAATAGTTCCAAATTAGTCAAGTTGGCTATTTTCAAACCGTTAGCTTAATATTAAAAAAATAAAGGTGAAAAATTGTTTTATAATTGAGCTCAAGACATTCAAAAACAATTTAGACAAAAAATTAGTTAAAAAGGCTATTTTTTTTGGAAAAAAAACCAGCCCATGGCAAACATTTACTCACTTTCTTATAAAAATGGAACGAAACAGTCTCAATACTTTAAAAAAGAAAACAAACAAGACTGCTCGTATCAGGGCGAGGCCCTGAATGTTCCGACCGCCTCGTAAGGCCTATGGAGCAGTAATATCATGGAAAAATTAAAGGAAATAAAACAAAAAAAAGTACTAAATAAAATATTTTTTTGAAAATCGTCCCCCCTCCCACGCCATATAAACTACAAACGGATAGATCTCGCTCTTTGTAACAAATCAATTATAGCAAATAAGCTTCTTTCAACCAATTGGAACGATTTCTAACAGGTATTAACTCTCCGCTTACGCGTTAACAGCGCGAAAGATATCACGCTTTAATTGTCCCAAATTGGTCAAAATGCCAATCTTTAAACCCCCATAACTTTACGAAAAAGGATCACAGGAGAAACATGTTTTCAAATTTAAGCTCAAGAAAACAATAGCTTTCGAATGAGATAATGTCGAATTTTGTCTGAAGAAAAAAAACCACCCCGAGCACAAATATTCCGTTACTTTCGTATCGATAGTCGGAACAATAAGAATATCCACTGGACAAAGGGCAGGTTTAGATTGAAAAGTGCATCTAGAAGACCCATAGCCAGGATTCCTGGCTACGATTGTATTCAAAAACCTTACTTCTATCTGAACACTTTCATGAGATGTAACTATCATCAAGGGGGTTTCTGAACAGTTAAAATGCCAAAACCCGAAAACTATTTCTCTAACCTGAAAACTATTTTTGAAGAGTTTTTTTTCTGGAGTTAGAGTAAAAAACCGAGCACTGCCAATGCCGCATCATATTTAATTTTCTAACGGTTAAAACTTGAAAAATGCGTTTGAAACGATCAGTTACTTTTTTATACCCCCAAAAAAAAATTAACTCCTATAATGTCAAAGATAGATGCTGTTTTTTAGTTTGTTGACGGAGTACCATGACCTATATGAGCTGCAAAGACAGAGACTGGAGCACCAGATCAGTGTGTTGAGCGAGGAGAAGGAGATATGGAGCACTGCATGCTACACCATGGCTGTCAAGGTCAGCTCAGCTCAGCTCAGCTCAGCTCAGCTCATTTTGCTAGATTCTTATTTGAATCATTTCGAGATTTGAGCTTGACTATTTCTCGTATCTATAAATTTGATTCCAATTGCGATTCATCCAAGAAGTGTTTTGGATGTATCGTACAACTAAAAGTTGCATTTGCAATTGATGCGGCAAACTACATACGAGATATTTCGAAGTCATCAATTTCAAATAATTAGACTCAAATAATCTATTGCAGCATAAAAATGCAGCAGGTACCCAGATTGTCCGTCTTATCAGACAGAGCAAAAGGTGTTGTTACGACAAAATGATATGCCTATTTGTAATTCTTAATCAATTTTTTCAGCTTCGATTGAATTTTGCGGGTGATTAAAACTAGAAGCTATAGATTTGATTCAATTCAACCAGCTTTTTGTTGACATTGTGGAAAAACTGACTAACATGCAAGATAATCAGAATGACTCCCCTTTCTCCTCGATCCCGCATATTATGATGAATTACTACAACTTTGGAAATCCCTGAAAAAAAATCATCTCGGTGAAAATCACTGAAAAAAAATCTTTTCTAGCGGTCATGATGGCATAAATTTAAAAAAATTGGTGCTGAGACGATTGGCTATCCAATAGCTGACTTGTTCAATCAAATGTTAATCTATAGTAAATTTCCAGAAGTTTGCAAAAAAAATAACGTTTTTATAAAAAGTGTTCTTGCGAGAATCTTATGAACTCTAACCCATTAAACCAGTTCTCACCAATAAGCAGTTATCAGAAAAAGTTTTTCAATTGTCTTTGAACTTCATTAGTAAGTTCAACATTTTTGCAGCAGAAGAATTCTGATTCAGGAAATTTGTTCTTTTATCCACGTTATCAATTCAACAAATTAATTTATGCGATTGGCTTGTGTTTCTGGTTTTTATAAAACGTTTGACAGCATCTATCGTATTATGCTGTTGAAAAAGCATTCAGATGTAGAAATGTGCTACAGGGGGCTCTAATTTTAATCCACTGCTTTTTCTGTTATACATAATTGACCTTTTTAAAAACCCCCAAAAAACTGTCTTTTCGTGGATGACACAATGTTGTTTCGCACTAACAAAAGTTTAAGCGGAGTACAAGAATTCAAGAAAAAGTTGAAAAAGAAGACTTGTGCTGCAACGCTAAGTTTTGTCGGAAATTTAAAAAGTTAGGTATCTTTAGGAGAAGAAAACTGGGCTATGTAGGTGAATTCAAGCCTTTGGACGTCGTAACGGACAACGATTTGACTTTTTTAGCATGTTGATGCAAAAAAGCCAGTTTTACCAGCTTGCTAAGACAAAGCAAAGGGGGTTTCATCTCGATACCTACACTTGAGATTTATTAAGGTTTGCGCCAAGTCGGTTTTTTCTTATAGCGTATTAGCATATGGCTGTTTGTCAAAACAGGTTTTCGAAGATTTTTATCAACTCGAAAACGGATTTTCAGAACTGATTTTTTTAAAGTTTCAATTTGTGATGCCAGTTTTTCATGATTAAAAATCAAACCTTTTTCGCATAATTTCGTGCGCTATCCTTGTGAGTTAAATAATGTATTTCTAACTTTTTCTAAAAATTCAAAAAAAGACAAATTGTCCAGATCAGTTCAATTGAACTGCTAAAATTCATTCCACTGATAGCTCTCTAATCAAATAGCAGTTGAATTTTTTCAAATATTCAGCAACTAAATCAGATTTAGCAACGAAAGCGAACTGACTTTTGAAAATATCTCTACTTTCTGTAGATAACTGAGAACAACCGTCTGAACACTTCTAAACGACTGCACATGGCGGAGAAGACGTGGGCTAAGCTGGCATCCCATTACGCTCTATTTCTGGCAGACAGAGACTGCGAACTGATGGCCAAACTACAGACACACGTGGACAAGTACGCGACAGGAGTTCCACATTTCAAAACTTAAAAAGCCTCATTTTAAACGTGACTCATTCATTGTATGTAATTCGTTGTTCATGCATATGGCTTATTCATTTACTCTATTCGTGATTAATAACAAAATTTCAGAGATGATTATATAAATGACTCGTTGAATTGCGGAGAAGCTCGATTAAAATAAGGTTGATGATCATTTCAGGTGGCGTGAAATCATTTCGGAGATGAATTACAACATAGCAACTGGTGATAAGTCTTCCAAGGTCAAGCTGATGACATTGAAAGAAGAAATGACAGAACGAGCGGCCACATACTCCAAAACCATGCTGTAAGTGTCACCTTCGATTTTGTTCTAATTCTTGTGAAAAGAATATCTCGATACAATATCTGAAAGTTTTATTACCATGAACATCATTTTTAATTCGATTATAAGTATATTTTAGATCCCTTTTTCGGAGCTTTTCAGAAGCCAAAACAGATTAACTGCATTCAAAATTTTTGTGATGAGACTGTTTCACATAAAAAATTAGTTGAGCATTATCCTGAATCAAATTCTCCGATAATTACTTTTATTAAATTATTCCATTCAAAAACTGGACTTATTTGTGTTTTGGCAGTATCGATTTCGACACGCATTCTGGGACTGAAACCCGTCGTTCACTTTGTTCATCTCTAGATTCGTAAGAAGAGTTCTGAGTGATTTTCTCCGCCAGTCCAACTTCTGAATAGTGTGCTTGAAGAACCAATTTGTATTTTTGGACAAGAAAGTCGTATGAGTGCGATGAAAAAAAAAAATTCCACTGATATTTTGAGCTTTGTTTTTAAGTCGAAGACACTATAGACGACTATCTTCATAAATCAGCTCAATTGTGCAGTTTGCAAATAAAATTGTTTCTGAACTTTTCATTCTGACCTTTCGTGGCATGACCTTTTAAGAAAATCCACGGCATTTCCTGCTTTAAGCGTTAATACCGAGTGATTTACCATCGTAATCTCCAACCATTTTAAGACATCCTCATTTTTTCGAACTCTGTCATCTTGTCTTGTAATCTGCGTTGTCGACGGGGGGTTTTGGAGTATTTCTCGAGGGAGATAGGAGCTGAAAGACTATTATCCAGAGTATCAATCAAATAAAAGGCTCATAATTGGGCTAATTTTCACGCTTGTCTAAAAGCACCATATTGAGGTGGAGGCTCAGAATTAGCTAGAATTCATTTCAATGAACCTGCGGTTTATTAGAACGGACTACAAAAATTCCTGCTGCGTTATTAAAATACATTCCCTTGCTGAATCCCAAAGTTAAACTTAGGCGTATTAATGTTTCGAAGCCCGGCACGTTCTAAAAATTTCTAATTGCAACTGCTAACTTTAGTCGGTTTAATGAGCGATCTCATGTTTGAACTAACACCATTGGATCCGGTATATACTCTCTCATCATTGAATCACTTTATCTTCGCCTCTTTAAGACCAATTTCACTTAACATGGTATCTCGAGTGAGCAGTTATAAAACGCCAGTTCTATAAAAAAAAGAATAAATCATTTGTTCATTATCAGTACTTTGGTTTGGGTTTAGAATAAGATTCATGGGACCAAATTAAGATCCTCATCCTCCACCCCAGCCCTTAATTTAAATTAAATTTGCTAAGCGCTGCATGTAAAATGCTCGTTCTGATTTGATTGGCTGAAAATTTCTAACTTAGACCAATTTAACATCCCCACCCCCAAACGACTTTACAATCAAGTGAATCATTGCATTGTTATCATGTGCTGGCGTAGACCTACACTCAAATACTTTTTTATTGACAACTTTTTGATCGCTAGATTTAGAATGATTATTATGAAAAAATATATATATTTCTAATTGGTGTTAAAATTCCAAAACATTTTCCAAAAAAATGTACCAAAGCCCGTGAGCCCGACTTAATACAAAACAAGATTAACAAGAGTTATATTTCCATGTGTGCAATGCATGTTTTGTGATGGAGACTTAACTGCCATGACATTAAACTATTTTTCAACAAATTATTGAATTTATTGTTCCGACTTTCGATACGAAAGTAACGGAATATTTGTGCTCGGGGTGGGTTTTCTTTTCTTCAGACAAATTTCGACTTTTTAATTAGCCATTTTTGACGGAATTTTTTTATATCATTCGAAAGGTATTGTTGTCCTGAGCTCAAATTTGAAAAGATATTTTACCTGTGACCTGAAGAGTTAATCCGTCTTACAAATCGTTCCAAATTGGTTAAAAGAAGCTTATTCGCCATAATTGGTTTGTTACAAGGAGCAAAATCTATCCTTTTGTACTTTGTATGGCGTTTGGGGGGATGATTTTCATAAAAAATTTCAAATTTCAGAAAAAAAAATTTCATTTTTTTTTTTTTTTACATTTATTTTTTTAATGTTATTACTGCTCCATAAACCTTAAAAGGCAGTCGGAACATTCAGGGCTTCGCCCTGATACGAGCAGTCTTGTTACATTTTTGAGTATTTTAGAACTGCTGAGAGCCGAATAGTACAGCCATCTCCAGAAGCCATCTTGAGATTCCATAAAGATCTGAAGAGCTGGCAAGAGGTAACTCCAAATCCGTTTTTTTTTTTGATATGTCAGTTGACAGATGAAACAAGGATAGCCGGTTGCTTTGCAAGTAGCACAGAATGTACAGACCATAAAAATAACAAAAAAAAGTTTTTTTTTTCAAATTAGTGTCGTTTTTGTGCTTGGTGTGATTAAATAATTATACCAACGCGTAGAAAGTTAGTGAATCAGGCATAATCGACAAAAATTGTCTTCAGTAATGAATAACAAAAAAAAAGAAAAAATAGTGAATTAGGCATAATCGACAAAAGTTGTCTTCAAAGAATGAACAAGAAAAAGAAAAAACACAACCCAATACATAGTTCTTCACCATTTTCAATGTTCTGAACCAAACAAAACTATGAGAAAAACTACAAGTTAACTTTTAGTTAGACAAAATGAGAAATTAGAAAATTAAACACTGCTTTTAAACGTTAAAAATTCAGAAAGCATTTTACACTCACCTAGTAAATAAACGTTTTTTGCTACTATTTTGCTATGATTTGCTATCGATTCGGCACAAGCAAAAAGTATAGTCAATTGACACCGTTTCTTAAACCTACCTCGTTGCTTTTCAATTGTCACTACACGCTCATAAATGATACTAACTTTTAAAAAGGATTTTTTTTCTGATTTTATTCTGTAAAAATTACTGTGATCTGAACATTCTATGATAGCTGCATAGAGGCTGGCTACTTTTTGACTTCTCTAAATTAAGTTAGATGTTCAATTGTACTTCATTTGCTTAAAAGAAGACAAAAATTACGCTCTCCAAAAACAAAGTGCAAACGGCACAAAAGCATGCGTGACTAGTTCTAAAATTTGTTTGGGGGTAGATTTTCACAAAAAATCTCAATTTTTTCCTTTTATTTTAATTTATTTTTTTTTCTTGTTATTACGGCTCCATGGACATTAAAAGGCAGTCGGAACTTTTAGCGTTTCGCCCTGAAACGAGCAGTTTTGTTAAAATTAGCTGTTATCTGAAATAAGTTAGACTGGTAAACATTAATTGTTAATTTGCGTTCATTCATCGTTCATCTAACGGCAAAGCTTTCGGCTCCAAAATTACGAACGCACGCAGATAGTAAAGCATTGACAAATTTGCACCAAAATTATATATTGCTTCATGATTATCAGTCGCACCGAATGATCCTACAAAAATTTAAAAAACATGCTTACTTTTTTTAACTCGAAACTAATGTTTTCTGAGGACTGTGTGAAAAACTACACAAAAACTTAAAATGAGATTGCTGAGGCACAATTGGTTTAAATTTATCCAAAAGTTGAATGACAAAACCAGAAATTTTATAGGCAAGGAAGTATCTCTTATAAATATCTCTCTGAGGTAAAACTCAATTATTGAAGGCCAAAATCCTTGACTCTCTCAAAATTCGTCTAAAAAGCAAAAACTTCCTTTTCAATTTGAGAACTTTTTGAAATTTTTTAGTGTTTGTTAAACTAAATTGAAAAGGTTGTAATAAGAGCTTATTGAACAACCTACCACCTAAATCAAATTAGGGAGGAGATCGCTGACTTGGTTAAAACTAATGCTTTTCTGCCAATTAGATTTGAACATAGTAAGTGCAGCTTCTACTGCTTGATTTTGCCCTTTATTTCTATAGGGGAGGTAGTTCACTTCATCTATTCGGGGGAGGTTGTTCAAGTGAGCTGGTAATTTTTTTCCCTTTCTTTTAACAGCAAAATGTTCTGACCTGTTTTTTCTCAAAATTAAATTCGGTTTGAGTAAATTTTGTAAGGTAACTCAAAGTAGCCGTGAGCTGAAAAAAAATCAGAAATTAATTAAATTGCAATTGTAATACAAGTTTGTCAATATTCACCGACAATTGCCATATAATTTTTTCTTGTTTAGATTATTTTTTTAAATTGAACCAAAAAATTTAGAGAACTTCAATTTAGATTTTTTCCCAACAATTTTTCCATTTTTTTTTTGAATTTTTCCTCTTGAATTTTTCTTCTTATCTAATTATTGAAACGAGAAAAAGAGTTATTTAAATACCATCACATCATAATGTATCACGCACTGAAGTTTCTCTTTGAATAATCAATTATATGGCGATTTTATGTTCGAAGACAAAAAGTAATATATTATATGATCTAACTAATTGATTGAAATACTCAGTTTTTGTTGTGTCAGTTATTTTGGAATTACAATCGCTTTTTTTTCAAGGTAATACCATTTTTTGTGTCGGTTATATTGGAATTAAAAACTGTTTTTTCTTCAGGTAATACCAAAAAATAAAATCTTTTTTTCCCAGATAATCGCAAGATAATCTAGTGTGTTTTCTCCATATAAAATCTAGTCCGAATAAAATTTATTGTTTGCATAATAAAATGGCAGCAAAATCTTTTTGCCATTTCTTTGCTGCCAAAACAAGTCAATGTAAGCATGAACCAAAAAGTCAAATCATTGCTTTTGTAAAATCTTTTCACTCATGGGTTGCAAATTTTTAGCGAGTTTTTTTTTTACTTGTCTAACTTTCGTTTTATTTATCTTAATTTTTAGTTAATTAACGCCATTTTCTTTTATGGTGCATTCTTTCCTCTATTTTTTTCTAGCAAAAACTAATTTTTTTACTGACAATTTTTTGTTAATTCATAATCGCAATGCTCCAGATTTCTTGTTTTTAGTTAACTCATGATCGCAATGCTCCAGATTAATTTTTTTCGATCTAATTGCTTCTTAACGCATCAATTTATTAGTTTGATTGTTTTTAAACTGAAAATTATTAGGAATTTATGAAACAAATATTCAGCAAAAATGAACTTTTCAGTGATGATTCTAAGTTATTAATCGCAGAAGCAACTTTGGGGGGATAAGGGTTAGCCAATGTTCCCTCCCCCCACAAGTGTTTCGAAAATTTTTGGATACGATCAATCAAAATGGATGCTTTGAAATAATGCCATAGGGTAGACCATCTGCGGGGAATGCGCGTCAAAAAACGCTATTTTAGGAAATTTTTAAAAATTTGAGCAAAATTGAGTTTCTACTGATATTTTTTAGTGAATTCATGGTCGCAGTGATCCATTGGTTTGGCTTTTGCATTGAAAAATCAAATTTTAAGCTACAAAAAATTTTGTTTTCAGCGAGTCAATTTTTTAAATAGATTTCCTGATTTTTCTATGGAGACAAAAATTGACTTTATTACAATTATATAGTGAAAAAATAGATTATCTTGAAATTATATGGAGATAAAAATAGGTTTTGCTGGAAGTATAATGCGACATAGACATAATCGCTGTGGAAATTTTCGCGCTATTATAATAGATGGTTGATTGCCTGAATTGAATGATTTGATTACACATAATCAATTATAATGGCAACTTTTTTGGCAAGATTTTCTCAATATAATGTATATGTTTATCCGAGAAATTTCGGCAATGGATATAAAATTAGTTTTGCAGGTTAACTTTTCACAAATTATCGTCATAATTATTGCTGAGACATATATTTTTGAAAATATATTTGACTCGGATTCACGACCAGTAGGAATCTCGACGACTAATAGGACACCACACTTGGTCAAAATCCGTCAAAAATCACTTTTTTCAGTGGAGGTCTTGAAACAATAAAAAAATAGCCTGCTTTTCTATTAGCTCTGAGTTTTGCAGTAACGCTGTATAACATTTCAGAAAAATAAACGAATTAAAGGTCCGATTATTTTATAAGTGACTTTTACAAGAACATTAAGGTTTAAAGATTCATAATTGACCTAAAATTAAACAAATGTGAAAACAATTTTGAAATAGGTTAATGTTAATTGTGAAATAAGGCTTTGTACCTTCGTCCAATCGGATTTCTAAGAGGTCCAATCGGATTTCTAAACTGGCCTGAATAGTAGAATTATTCAAGTCAATTTCTCTCGACCCGGAATTTTTTTTTCGAAATATTATTTTGAACCCAAATCACGACATTTGGATTCTTCAAATGCAGAGTTTTTATTGGTTCTCTTGAGTAATGATATGGATTTCATCTAAAAACTATTTGATTTACGCGACCAAAAAATTTTTTTTGAAAGAAGGAAAGCAATTAAAGACTTGTTTGTTTTCAGGCGATCTTGGCGGAGGTTGAGAAGTACAGTGGGGATACTCTGCTGCAGTACCAGGAGCAGTTCCAGCAGTGCAAACACGAGATAGCCCAGTGGAACGAAGTGGCCCACAGAGTGTTTACGCGACACCAGCAGGAGGACGGCTCCAAGTTCCCAGAACACGACAAGATGCACCATGTCAACGAGGTCAGATTTATGACGTCATTTTATTCCTGGATTAGGCAAAGCTTCGTTGATGATGGAGAATAGAAAAGCCTTAAAAATCCTACACTGCCAAATCCGCCCCTACCAAGCATACAAATTCAAAGAGTTCAACAAGGGAGACGACTTTCACAACATTTAAAAAGCATTTCTTAAAAAACATTTTGAACATTTAGAAAAATTTGACGCAAAGTAATTTAGCATTTTTAGGAGTACCTTAAAAAATTGAACAACATTTAAACCTGCAATCCGGCCAGTTCAACCCTGAAGTTTGTTTCAAACCTTTAAAAAGCTGCGGTATAATTGTTTGTAGTGTAAAATGTAGTGTTTTATTTCAGGCTGTGGAGAAATTGATGTCACAATTCAACACGCTCATTTTGGGAGAAAATGGTAAGGTTTTTAATTATGAAAGGAAACTTACTACCCTGAAACTGAAGCACACGCCTTCTTTGCCTAAAAAGCGGGCTTGCCGCTTGGGGAATGGAAAATGTTTTCTATTTCAAAGCGTGTTATTTTTCTTTATATGTCGCAGGCACTGCCAAGTTCCTGATCCAAGTTGGCAACGAAGTGGACCAATGGGAGACTAAGATGCACTCGCTGGTGAATGGGGCCCAGACTCTCTCGGAGGGCGAGTGGGTCAAGTTCCTCAACTACGTCAATTCATGGCCCTCTACTGTGGAAAATATCATTTCTTTTGTGGGGAAGACGAGGAGCTATGACCAGATTGGAAAAGAGTACAAGGAGTATGTTTTTAATCTTTATTTAAGAATGCTTAAGAATGTTTTTTGGGAGAAAGCACAGTTACAAGGTTTCAAAAAAGTTGAACCGTATAAAAAGATTTTTCTTGCATAAAAATATGTTTGATAGCTCGCCTACTTTTTCATTGAAAACGCTTCGGAAAAGGTCAGAGTTTTGATTAAAAAAGTGAAAGCGAATAAAAAAGCAAGTAATTCATTGTATCAGAGAAAAATGTTCAAATTTATGTTGATTTCAGAATTAGAGAAATTGGCATATGAACAATTTACACTAAGAGAGGAATACCCTTTGCTAAAAAGTCATCCTAATGAAAGTGCACATCTGCGTTCCTCGTTTTTCACAAAGAACTAAGCGGCTTGTATGATATGATTTTCCCCTTTACTATCCCTCGTGGAGCTTTCTGTTTTTTTTTCAAAAGGTTGAGTCTTGAGGAGGTGCTGAAGACAGTGCAGGTGTGGATGTCCTCCGCCTCAAACGGGGATAGACAACGAGACTCAAAAGATCATCGACAAGGTAACCGCCCCAAGTTTTCGATTGATAGATTTTTTTCAAAAGCAAAAAATTTGACTAATTGCAGTGAAAGAAGCACAGAGCAATATGCCCAGTTATTTTTCCTTAATGTAAGGGGGGTTGGGCTACAATTCGTTTCAAGCGACGATTCGTAACAGGCGATAAATCGTAAATTTTTAAAAGGCGACTATTCCTAACAAGCGACGATTCGTATCAAGCTACAATTCGTATCAATGTTTTGCTTGATGTTTAAAATTTTTTAAAAATAATCGAAAGCTTAATTAAAATACAAGGAAACCGCTCATTTCGAAGCAAGATTTTGAGCGTAATTGTCTAAAAAAACCGCTCAAACCGCTCAAATCTTGCTTGAAAAACCGTTCAAAAATCACCACAAGAAATGTGCGGTTTTTGAGCGGTTTTTTAAGCAAGATTTGAGCGGTTTGAGCGGTTTTTCCAAAAAAACCGCCCAAACCGCTCAAATCTTGCTGGAAAACCGCTCAAACCGCTCAAATCTTGAGCGGTTTTTGAGCGGGATCTCGACCCGGGGTGTAAAAGCGTCCGGACATTCTATGCTACTCCTCTATTTTGTGATTTCCATATTTTCGTAACTCTGAGCACATCTTCAATACTAACAGGTGGGCAGTGTGCACAAGTCCTTGATCCATTGGATGGTGCAAGTGCTGCTCAAACTGGCCCCGGACAGGCCTGACAATGTGGGGGACTCCTACAATGCACACTTTGCCACAGTGGAGCAGATCGAGGAACAGGGGCAGAAACTGGAGAGGACTCTCGTCAAGTTCAGCGAGTACCTCATCAGGTGACTATAGCTTTGCATTGTTGCAAAAAAATAGTTCGAGCTCATTTTCATTTGTTAAGATTATAATTTTCATTAAATCAGTTGTTAATAAATAATTAATGGAACGTTGGTATATGCTGTATTTAAAAACTAAAACGAAAAAGATCAAAAACACAAAAAATAACTTCATTCTCAAAAATCAATCTAATCCAATAATTATCATTAGAGAATTCCAAAATCTATATTATTCTACACCACCAAAAACGTTCAAAATTCTTTTTTTTGTTCGTTTCAGCTGCTGTGGTAGTGCTGTAATGGACGTAGAGAGGGGAAATACTGTGGACACTGACGCAGAGTACAGAGATTTGAAGAAGATTGCGGCAAGTTTTTCATTTAAAGATGAACATACTCCCAACTCATGTAAAAATAGACACGATCAACAAAGTTTAGACTTCACGCGCTGAGGTGAGCCTTAGTTTCAGACACAGAAAATAGCGCTGGTTAATTATCTCAGTTTGACCACACCGGCAGTTTTAATTTCCTCATAACAGCATGAATATAAATTACTGATTAAATATGATTATGTGTTAATGAACATAGTGAAGACACTTATATGAGAAGTGGGATCTACTTAACAATTGCCCCCTTTTTTTAAGAAAGGGGGCAATTGATAAGTAGATTAAAATAAGGCTTTTTCGACCAATCAGAATGCAGCAAAATTGTAATTCTCAATAGGAAGCTCAGTGCTGATTTACTGCTTTTATGAATAGGGGTGGCAATTCTTAAGCAGATACCAAAGGGGGGGGGGGCGATTGTTAAGTAGATCCGAGACGTGTTGGTATGTTTTTCTAGAAAAAAGCCCTAGAAAATGTGCACGCTCGTATTTCGCAATAGCACTTTTGATTTTGTTTTCGTTTTAATTTCATTCTGAAAAGAAGGCAACTTATGCTCTATGCTCTCCCCGCACTGGAGTTCCATGGTTAATAATTGATTATAATCTATTTTTTCAGATGAAATTATGAAATTTGCAATTTTTTTTCAAAATTATCTCATTTCCTGGTTCGTGCAGTTGCTACGTACTACGTTTCATATATTTTTACATTCCACATGAGATTTTATTTTATTTAAGTTTCCTCTACTTTTTCGATACTACGTAAACTCCATCGCCCTTTTAACAACCCCCTTCCCCAATTTACCCCCCCCCCTCACGCACACACACACACACACACACACACACAGTTTACCCCTACCCCCCACAGTTTACCCCTCGTCAGTTTACCCCACCTCAGTTTACCCAACCCCCCGATCTTAGTTTAATCCCCCCGGGGCGTGTTACTGAATGTGGAGGTAGGGGCAAAAAAATGGGGGCGAGGGTGGATCAAAAAACTTGGGTGAGGGAGTTAACATGGAGAAAATTAAACATACTGGGGTGTGTAAACGGTGACTTGGGGGGGGGGGGGTTGGGTTTGGCGGTAAACTTTAGTAAACATGGGGGTAGGCGTAGGGATAAACGTAGGGGAGTTGGGAGAGAAAAAGTGGGCAAAAGTGGACGAGGGGCAAAATGAGGGGGGGGGGGTATTATTTGAGTAGTTTAAGAGTGCGAGTTTGCAGTGAAAAACGCAGAAATGTTACAAGTTTTGCAAGTGATTTTGCAAAAAAATGTAATGAATATAATCCATTATAATCAATTATAATGGATTTTAAATGGATTATATATTATGAAAATAATCGATTATAACGACAATATAATCAATTTCGTGGTCTGAATTTGCAACAATAATGAATTAAAATGACAGCATTTTAGACAACAAGTTTCCATTATAATCGATTATGATCCATGGAATTTGGGTGCGGGTCTTTCAGGGGTCGATTGAAAGGGTGGGGGCGGATTGAAAGGGTGGGGGCGGACGCTTCTTCTCCCCTCAGGGATTCGACCCCCTGCCGACCCTCGATTTTTGGCCGACCGACCCTAAAGTTTGTCTAAAGGCGCCTAAAGCGGCAATATATACTACTGCGATTTTCAAAAAAAGCCCAAAAACAGGTCGACCTAAACAAAAAGTTCGTCAAAATTTTCGAAAATTTTTGAAAATCAGCTTCCTCCTTGAGAAAGTCCTAGAGCCGCCCATGCTCTCCTTGGCTCTAAAATATTTGCTAATTTGAGTTGGAAAGATTTGAAAAAAATCCATTTTTTTCTTCAATTTCATCGAGAAAGCGCTATGAATTCAAATGATTTTGCTCATGAATAACTAACCAGTTTATTTTCTGCATTTTATAGAGTGCTTAACAACTGAGGTTGATAATCACCATGTCAAGTTTTGGCATAATTAGTAAAACTCATTAACAGAATTAAGATTATATACAAAAAAACGCCATTTTTTTCCGAATTACAATTTTTTTCATTTATTGGCCAGTGGTCTGTCTTTTGTTTTTTTTTCGGTTTTTTCAGTAAGTGTTTCGTTTATTATTCCGTTTTTGAAGAAAAAGAGATTTTTTTTTCAATTTTGGGTTGTTTTTTGTAATTATTCAGTCTCTTTTTGAATGCTCAACCAAACTTTTTGACAAAAAATTTTATTCCTTCGAAAAAATTTATGTTATAAGGGATTGAAAATTGCTAGTTTGGCCTATTTAGAATAAAAAACACGCAAAATATTGCGTTCATATTACGCGCAAGCTGCGGATTAAATCATTGCAAATTGAAATGAGGCGGGTCGTTTGGTCTTGTTTTTAGGATACGAGATGATAAACAATCCCTTTGTAACTTACATTCAAAGGGATGAAGAAAAATATGGAAGAGAATTTTTTTTTTCAGTCAATTATCAATTTTTTATCCAACCATTTTTTATTGGCCTTAAAAAGCATTCGGAACAATCAGGGTTTTGCTCTGATATACGAAGCTTCTTTTTTACCTCTAAAATCATTTGCTTAATGCAAAATATAATTACTATTATCCATAGTAAAATTTCAATTTACATAAAAACGGGGCTTAAGTTTTACTCTGAAATTGGATTTCAATTTTGGTGCTTCAATTTAAGCAACGCAAAAATCCAATTTCAACAGTTGGGCTAACATTATGTATCTTATAATAACAAATCCGTGTGTTTCCACTTAATTTGATATCAAAAACAGTTCGCCAATTTTCATTTAGAATTGATATGTAGAGTAATCATAATCAAGTCACGTCGTCAGTGAACCAACTGCTCTGCTCATAGATTCCAACTGTTAAATCGATCATATAAAGGATTATGAATTTTTTATCGCTTATGACTTTGTATTTTTTGTCTCAAATTTTGAAACCCCGTTTTACCGAACTTAACAAAGGCAAAACCAAGTAAATAAAAAATAATAATTTTTAACACACATTTCGTCAGAATTTGAAAACTTCCGATTGTTAAACACGAAAATGTCTTTTATATATTTTTTGAAAAAATATACTATTCCCAATTTACCATTTTCACCGTAACTTTTAAATTTGCAACTTTTAATTTTAAGGCTAATTTGATTGAATAGTTAAAAACATAAGAGCAAAGAAGACAGCTCGTATCAATGGGAAAGGTTGAAATATCCAAATGTCCTTTAATTTTTAGAAAATAGTTTTAAGTTGAAAAATTTTTACAAAAAATTAGCTTTGAATTTTTGTTTCAATTTGTTTTTGAAAATCATGCCACCACTTGCTATATGAAGTACAAGACAGTAAGAAAAAGTAATCTGCTCCATTTAATTTAGAGTTTTTTTGAATCGGACTATTTTGCCGTTTATGCGTTAAAGAACAAAAAACATCGCCAGGTAATTGTCCCAAATTGGTCAAATTGGCTATTTTCAAACCGTTAGCTTAAAATAAAAAAAATAAAGGTGAAAAATTAAATTATAATTGAGCTCAAGACATTCAGAAACAATTTAGACAAAACATTAGCTAAAAATAATATTTTTTTTTGGAAAAAAAACAGCCCATGGCAAACATTTCCTCACTTTCTTATAAAATTGGAACGAAACAGTCTCAACACTTTTAAAAAGAAAACAAACAAGACTGCTCGTATCAGGGCGAGGCCCTGAATGTTCCGACTGCTTCGCAAGGCCTATGGAGCAGTAATAACATGGAAACATTAAATGAAATAAAACAAAATGAAAAAAAAAATTCCTAGAATTTAATTTTTTTTTGAAAATCATCCCCCCACACGCCTTATAAAGTACAAAAGGATAGATCTCGCTCCTTGTAACAAATCAAGTATGGCAAATAAGCTTCTTTCAACCAATTTGGAACGATTTCTAACAGGTATTAACTCTCCGCTTACGCGTCAATAGCGCGAAATATATCGCGCGTTAATTTTCCCAAATTGGCCAAAATGGCAATCCTTGAACCCCCGTAGCTTTACAAAACATGATCACAGGTGAAATATCTTTTCAAATTTGAGCTCAGGACATCAATACCTTTCAAATGATATTAAAAAAATGTCGTCAAAAATGGCTAGTTAAAAAGCCGAAATTTGTCTGAAGAAAAAAAAAGCCACCCGAGCACAATTATTCCGTTACTTTCGTATCAAAAGTCGGAACAAAAAGAACGTAATCTGAATTTTTTTTTGGCGGCAAATTTTGAGCCTGTTAATTATACTCTTAAGTAGTTTTAATTGCATATATCAGTTTGTTGTCAACTTTTAATATAAATTTAATAGCAGGCCTCCACAACATGAGCAGCTTTTTTTCTTAATGTCGAAGAAATTGACGGAATGTTTGTGATCGGGTGGTTTTTTCTCCATGCAAATTTCGGTTTTAAAAATCATTCAAAAGTATTGCTGTCCTGAGCTCAAATAAAAATAAGTCACCTGTGATCATTATTGCAACGTTATGGGGTTTAATATCTAATCAGGCCAATTTGGAACAATTAACGCGCGATATATTCCGTGATTTAAGCGGAGATTTAATCCTTGCGATACGCTTTTTAGTCTAATTACTGTCTTAATACTCTGCTACATGCGCAGAATATATCATTATGTTCGGCGGATGTTCATAAAATCACCATTTATTAAAGCCGAAATTACACCGGAACAAGACTGTATTTTCCGGCTGCATTTACGGTATATGGGGTAGTGTTCAGTAAGCTAAAAATATATTGAACTTTGAAAAAAAAAAAACCATAAGATTTTTTAAAAAGAATATCCCCCACAATCCATATAAAGTACGCAATCACAGAGTTCACTCCTAGTAACGCAGCACTTATGACAAATAGCCTACTTTAACCAAATTGGAATGATTTCTAGGACGGATTAAATCTCCGCTTATGCGTCAATAGCATGAAATACATCGCGCCCATAATTTAACAAAAAATAGTCACAGGTAAAATATCTTTTCAAATTCGAGCTCATGACAACATTACCTTTCCGCTGACATAAAAATTCCGAAAAACCGCTGGTTAAACAGTCGAAATTTGTCTGGAGAAAAAAAAACAACCCCGAGCACAATTATTCCGTAATTTTCTTCGAAAATCGTCAGAACAATAACGTAAATTGCATCAGAAGTACGTAACAATTGCATAACAACAGTGACAACCTTAGTTTTGCGTAACAATATTAGTTTTTGGCTACTTGGAATGGTAGTTTTTTTTTAGTTTGTTCGCCTTTCGGCTTGTTGGCCCATTACCTTTTTTTCCTCTACATAGCGTGTGGGGCGATGATTTTCTAATAAAAATGTTTAAATTGGACCAATTCCAATAAAAATTCTTAAAAATCAAAAATTGGACGAATTCAAAGTGGAAAATGTTGCTCATGCGCATTGCCACACATTTTGCCATTTGACAAATTCCAATTTTCTTTGTATTGGATTTTAACTTTTAACTTGAAAAGTAATCTTTTAAATCATGATCATCTATGCATTAAATTATAAGTTCATCTTCTAGAAGGAGAGCACAGAGTGGGTGAATACTGGAAGAATTCTGGTGCAGGAGTTGAAGGGTGACGTCATAGTATCAATTGGGGACACCCACCCCACAGACAGACAGGACACGACCATGTCCACACTTTCCAACTCAGACAGTGCTGGGCAGGGAGGAACGACCACGGCGGATCAGGTAAACGAGATAAATTATGTATAGAGTAGGTTTCGTACTGAAATGGTCATAAAGGATGAGAAACTTATATCAGCATACTTAATTTCCTAAATAAGAATGGATTGGTTTCAGAAATTGTTATTTTTTTGCTTTTGAAAGCTTTGATTTTTGCAGACTCGATGATTGCTCGAAAACTTTTTATTCTAATATTTCAATTTTTTACGTTAAATATTTCAATTTTTTATACGTTCTTTTCGTTCATACATATCGAATCTTTTCAATTTTTTGAAAGATGCTAAATCATGCAATTTTGTTAAATTTTTTGTTAAATTAATTTCAAAAATGGTATCCTTTTAACAAAACAATCGTGGTAATTTAAAGTAACTTACTTATTTTTTTAAATTTAACTTTGGTTATCATAGCCTGGAAGCGCCAGAGTTGTTCAGTTGGAACTGAATTGGCTTCAAATTGTACGTTGCTCATTAATAGATTCAGAACTATCATCATTCTTATTATGTCCAGCAGTGTGCCAGTAACGACCACCCAAGCCACGCCCGCCCCTCATTTTAGTTGCCACATTTTTCCATTTTTCCCCTACGGGGTAACAGTATAAGCCATTCCATTTGTGCTTTGCAAACCCCAAAATTTTTCTCAAGGTGCCTAGGGGGCCAGTATACCCTAAATTTGAGGAAGCGCAGAAACTGTTTGCAAAATAGGGTCTTTTTAGGGGTTGCACGGGCTTTTAAAACCAAAAGAAAACGACGACAAAATTTTCGAGGTTGTTTGAAAAAACTGTCTCATTTCGCCCACCTAGAAAAATTCCTGTGCACGCCACTGTTTCACAGAAGAGTTTTAATGATTATTGTCAAGTTTATTTAGCTTGTCTACTCAAAAACGTCTCAAAATAAGTTTGTTTTTGTTTTCAGGGAAAACTTGCTCGCAAGAAACACATGCGGGTAAGGGTAAGAAACTGGAATGTAGTTTGTAGGTTTTGGAAAAGTTTCAGCATGTTAGATTGATTATTTTTGATCTTCACTGCTAAATTATATACCATGGAGCCATGCTTTTCAGTCAAGTCGTGATCCAACTTCATTGAGTTTGGGTGGGGAATTGATGACTGAAAAATCAGATTTGAGTGGTCAGACAGCCGATCAGCTGCAACAAGGTATGAACAAAACGATCCCACGCGGCCCAGGCGAGACTTCCAAAAATGACACCAGTACTGTCCAAGCTATTTGCACAGACCAGAACGTGCGACCTTTTGACCTCGAGGAGCAGCGTAAGCAGAATGTGGTACGTGTAAAGATTATGATCGCAAATTAATTGGGTTCAGACAAGGTGAGAACTAATTATGAATGTGTCTTATTAGTGTACCTCGTCCAACTAAGTTCGCGCATGCGATCAGTTTCTCGTCACGAAGTGTTGAATGAAAGACGGATTTTTTTATTCCAGGAAGTTTCGACGGCAATTTTGAAAGAAAAGGCGGAAATTGGTTCGGAAGAGGATCCGAAACAAGCGTACGAATCCATAGCATTTGTGGAACAGCTGCAAGGACAAATAATGTAAGCGCATTGAGAAAAATCAAAGAGATAAGTCCAGATCCATGATTTAAAGTACATTTTAGAAAAATACAAGGCTTAATTGTTGTAGAACAATCCAGGAAAACCAAAGAAAACTTTCCAAATAAAGACAATTTTGCTTTGGTTAATTGAAACAATTTTCATTCTTTTCAGTGATACTGAAAAACGAGCCCAATCCATGGAGCAGAGGGCCCTGGAGGCCGAACAAAAACTGGCCGAAGTGATGGAGCAACTACGGGAATCGAACATCAATCTGGAAAATGTAAAGCGCGAGGTGGAAAGAGAGAAAAAGAAGGCTGAAGATGATAAGGAAGCTGAACTAGCCAAGGTAAAAAAAGAATTGGTCATAATGGTTAAACAAGACTGCTCGTATCAGGGCGAAGCCCTGAAAGTTCCGACTACCTTTTTAGGCCTATGGAGCATTACTAAGATGAAAAATTTCAATGAAAAAAAAAGAAAAAAAATTTTTGAAAAATTTGAGATTTTATGTAAAAACATCCCCCCACACGTCATATTAAGTACACAAAGTGAAATATTTTGCGCCTATTAACAAATCAATTACGGCATATAAGTTTCCTTGAACCAATTTGGAACGATTTCTAAGACGGATTAAATATCGCTTACGCGTTAATAGCGCGAAATTTATCGCGCATTAATTGTCCCAAATTGGCCAAAATGGCCATCTTTAAACCCCCATAACTTTACAAAAAATGATCACAGGTAAAATATTTTTTCAAATTCAAGCTCAGAAAAACAATAGCTTTCGAATGATAAAAAAAAATCCGTCAAAAACGGCTAGTAAAAAAGTCGAAATTTGTCTGAAGAAAAAAAAACCCACCCCGAGCACAAATATTCCGTTACTTTCGTATCGAAAGTCGGAACAACAAGCGTTGTTGTTCAAATGAATTTTGAAGCCAATAACTTTAATTGTTTTTCAATGGAGCTTTCAATAATCCTACTCTACAATTCCCCTTTTAACCTATTCTTCTTTGCACCGTTTCTCCCCGGGCTGGGCAAGTTGTTATGTTTAGGCATACACAAATTACAAGTTTGATAAAAAGTTATCGATCCTATATTTCAAACAAGACTGCTCGTATCAGGGCGAAGCCCTGAATGTTCCGACTGCCTTTTAGGGTTTTATGGAGCAGTAATAACATCAAAAATTTAAATGTAATAAAATAAAATGAAAAAAAAAAAATTTCTAAAATTTGAAATTTTTTTAATGAAAATCATCCCCCCACACGCCATATGAAGTACAAAAAGATAGATTTAGCTCCTTTTAACAAATCAATTATGGCAAATAATCTTCTTTCAACTAATTTGGAACGATTTTAAGACGGATTAAATCTCCGCTTACGCGTTAATAGCGCGAAATATATCGCGCGTTAATTGTCCCAAATTGGCCAAAATGGCAATCTTTAAACCCCCATAACTTTACGAAAAATGATCACAGGTGAAATATCTTTTCAAATTTGAGCTCAAGACAACAATAGCTTTCGAATGATATTAAAAAGTTCCCTCAAAAATGACTAGTTAAAAAGTCGAAATTTGTCTGAAGAAAAAAAAAACCCACCCCGAGCACAAATATTCCGTTACTTTCGCATCGAAAGTCGGAACAAAAAGCTAAATAACAATTAGATCTACCAGGAGGCAACAGAAAAAAGGCTATTTTTTGCATAACAAAGTTAATTGTTTTAATTTGAGTTTTTGCTCACCAAAAAGTTTCAAAAACAGAACTAAATTTCTATTTGCAATAACTTGTTCTTGTTTAAATTTCAGTCCACAAAACAGGAGTCAGGTACATTTTAGGCGATGATCTCAGTCTTTTAGTTGGTCAGAGTCTTTATCGATCTATCTGTGTCTTTTCATCATGGCTCTATTAGTGTCTGCATGTTCATCTGATGACAAACCTATCTTTTTGAAAGTTATCGGGACACTTGTTTTTTGTGCACCTGTGTGGAAGACAAGTTTTAGAAGTGTTAAAATCTGAAATAGTAGCCAGATGATTTGATGACTCAATTATTGCGGAATTTTAACATTTGTGGTCTAAGTAACGGCAAGCTTATGATCACTAAAGCGCTTTTCGGACAGAAATATCTAACAGATGCTGATAAAAAAGTCTTCAATTTTTTTTGGTAGCAAATTTTGTAAAATTCAAACTGCCCAAAACTTTTGATCTAAATTTTAACGCTTCTAATTTAACGCTTCTTGGTTATGAAATGAAACTTGGGTTGGGCTGTTTTTTATTGGCAGATATGCTAAGCTCCTAAAAGAAAAGAGAAGCGAAAAACATCTCAACCATTTCAAGCTGGTAAATGAAATCATGTTAATGCTCTAAGTGATAGTGTTAGTATAATATCGGGTTAAATCATTCACGCAGCAAAGTTTTTATCAATTTTGGTCAATTTATCTAATAAAAACATGATCAAACTGTGTTTGTGTGTATGTAGAAGGAAGATGCGGAGATTGCGGCTGCAAGAGCGAAAAGTGCGGCTGCAAATAAGAGAGTCAATCAGCCCGTGGCTCCCAGCAACGTCTCAACCACATCAGCTGCATCAACTGTGAGTCATCATATCTGGGAGCTTCATTATTTCAAATTGATGGATCGGTTGTTTTCAGATAGCAAAGCCTCCCAATGCCCTCCTCAAATAAAACATGAGCAAACAAAGTGTCATCATAACTGGGACTTTCAAATCACCATGATTTAATCGGTGGACGGATTTATAACAGAGCCTCCTCCAAAAACCAAGCGAAAAACATTTAAAAAAGCTGCCGACATTTTGTATTTTCCAATTCAAATAAATGGTCTGCTGTGAAAATAGGTAACATGATTTTAGTCAGAGACAAGTTTCCTGATCAATCTTTGGCCAGATAAAAAACAGAGAGTAAAATACTGATTTAAAGCTGATACAGAAATTACAAGTTTTTTAAAACTGTTTTTTTTTTCTTGAACAGTGCTAATAATCTTTGTGACTTCAAACCGGGAGATGGTTTCATGATAGTTTTTTGAGATGAAATTCAACACATTTGTGTTAAATTAGAAATAAAGCAAATTTGTTCAAAATGAGAAAACTGTGGAACTGTTTTTTGGTCTCTTTCAGAAAGGAGCAGCGGGACGCAAAGCCTCAACCGGATCGAACCGCAACACTGGAGGAACCACAAATCGGTCAAATACATCATCACGATCAAGTTCATCCAAAAAGAAATAGAAACTGCAATTCTCAGATTATAACAGATCAAAATTCTCTGTCTATAATGATATGCAAAAATAATATTTGAATAAAATAGCGTTGAATCCAAAATATATGAGAATAAACTGAATTTTTAAGAATTTAACCAAGAATAAACTGTTAAGACATAATATGAAGTTATACCATTCAAGGATTTTGAATAGAAATCATTTTTGTATATGCTCAGTCGAGGATTTTCTCGAGTTAGTGGGGGGACTTTCAAAAAAAGTTCAAAAAATCTGTCGACCTTGTTTTTAGGTCGACTAAATTGTTTTTCTGAGCTCTTCGAAATCACTATAAAAACACCATTTTGCCCAAATTTTTTGCACCGTAGGCAAATATTTGAAAAAAAAACAGGCCAAAAAATGCATTTTAGGCCCTTTTGGGAAAATTTTGACCAAAAAATTGAGTTGTTTCGGCGCGCGCTCCCCTTCAAAACTAGTATATATTGGCACCGAAGGCGCCTTTAGAAAAATTTTAGGGTCAGTCGGCCAAAAATGGATTTCTGAAAAAGTATCAAAGGGGTGACCCTTTGGGTCGGCAGGGTGTCGAATCCCTGAGGGGAAGGGGGCGTCCGCCCCCCCCCCCTAAATCCGCCCCTGTCCTCAACCCCCCACAGCAATTTTTGCCTGGAGCCGCAAAACTTGGAAACTCTCCACCCCCTTCATTAATCGCCATCTTCGTACTTTTGAATAACTTCTTGATGAACCTTTAAAACATTTAAACCCTTCAATTTTGCATAGAAAACCAAAATAAAAAAAAATTATCAATATTTTTATTTTTACTTCAAAGCTTAATACTAAAGCCGCAAAGATAACATAATGGGATTAACTGAAAAACATTAGGTATCATAATCATCCAAAAGATGGTAGAAACTTCAAAAAAGAAGGTGAAATTTTCAAGAAATAATGTCAAACATCAAGGACAGCCTGGAGCCGAAAAACTTGGAAACTCTCCACCCCCTTCATTAATCCCCATCTTCGTAATTTTGAAATACTTCTTGATTAACCTTAAAAACATTTAAACGCTTCATACAATATGTTCTGATAATATGTTCTGATAATATGTTCTGATATTTGTTCAATATGTTGTGATAATATTCACAGAAAAAAAATAGTGTTGTTCTTCAAAAAAGTGTCGTTTCAAGTGCGATAACAATCAAATATTATCGACACCATTTGTCCTCAAAATTTGTATAACAAGCAAAATGTGGAAAAAAAATTTTTAGAGAAAATTTTAAATTTTTTGCACAATAAGTTTAAATTTTTCTTAGAAAACCGTTAATGTCAAATGAGCGCCGAAAAAAACATCCAAAAAGAGTTTTTACTATAACTGAATAGTAATTTTTTAAATTGTCTAAGTAAATAGTAAACTTTCATATAACGAGAGTTACCCGATCGCATTACTCACTCGAAATTAAACAAAGTTTAAAAAAAGTTTTTACCAACATTCGGAATTTTTTTGAAATTTTCCTAATGTCATTTTTATCACGGCTGAAATAACAGTATGATATATCAATTGACCCATTACGATGATTATTTGTGACACCCGATTTTTTCTTTAAAAGAACGAAAACGCCTAAATACAAATTTCCTCTGAGTTTTCAACTGTCGGAACAATAAAAACCAAACTTCATTTACAAGTTGTTCATAAGTAAATATAGTAGGGCTCTATGTTTGAAAAGTTTCAGGTCTAGAGCTTGGAATAATTTTAGCAAGCTTTTAAAAGTTTAAATAAAGTGCTATAGAAGGAGGTGCAAAAAATTTAGGCGCAAAGATTTCTCGCGCACTACAAGGTGTTTCCGAAACTCGTTTTTTTTTTTAAAGATTTCTAATTTCAAAACGTTTGGGTTTTTGGAGGACTCATTTTGTAAAAGGCAAGTAAAACTTGGCGAATTTTTTTTTATATATTTCAATCAGTTCGGTTCGTTTTTATTCATGTCTCTGTCTTTAAGGCTTATTGAATTCCCACTGCTTTTCGAATTGAACCCGCTTCTATAACCTTGGTATGAGCTAACCAAATAAATTAAATCAACTTCCACAATGCAAACTATTTTCAGAAAAAATTATACTTTTAAATTGGATGAAATCATTTGATTTTTCGTTTGTATGGAAATTAAGAATTTTTTCAAGTTGATGAAATGCACACAGAATTAACTCAAAATATTCGTTATTTAACAGTTAAGAAATCTATTACTGAGCAACCGAGCAAAGCGAGTAAAAAAACGGTGTGATAGAAGTGTTTGACGGATCTCTTCATTTATCAGAGAAAGAGTCGGAAACTGAATGGGAAGACGATTAATCGAAAATGTGAACCTTAACGAAAATTGTATATGTTATCGGGAGGAAAAGTGGAACGCAAGTAAGCTGATCTCTCAACAAAGGAAATCAGTCGACTAATCAAGAACGACTCTTCAGGGGCAGTGACTTGTTGTAAGTAGACTGATATTTCAACGTGATCCAGTGGAAGGAGCAATAAAGGTTGTCAAACTATTGAACTAAAGAAGACTTAAGAAAGGGGAAGGCGGAAGTTTTAGCATATTGTTTCTTAAAACTAAACGGTGTGCAAAAAATTTGTTGAAGATTGACAAAATAAACCTGATCGACGGACGAACACACGTCGTTTGTTTTTGCCAAAATGATGATGGAAGGTAAAGTGCATTCTGCCAAGCGGTGGCTGACTAATAGACCTGGAGGGAGAGTTTTCGATCCAAACAATGAAGTCTTTAAATCAAATACAAAACTTAAAAAACGTGTTTTTGGTGTTTTGAAGGAAAAACATGGCGTGGCACAACGTTCCCACCAAGAAGCAAGAATAAAAATTGACAGCTTACCGTAGTTGAAAATAGTTACTATTAGATTGCCAGATCCATGCACGATGGAGCACGACCATAAGAAACAGATTCAGAGCATTGGAAAGATGTGTATGTGTAGTTTTGTATGAGAAAGAGTGGGGGGTGGGTGCAAACCCCCATGTCTAAAAGTTTCTGAAACTTACAATCTTACCATCTCAAACCTTGAATCATGATAAAACAAGACCTATATTAATACAAGGAGAATCAATTATCTGTCTTAATACATAGCTTGCAGACCGGATTTTCTATTCCCTATCTTAAAACATGGGGGTCTGCACCCAACTCCCCCCCCACTCTTCCTCACACGTTTGGGGCTCATAACTCCGTTTGGCGCTCATAACATTTTTCTCCGTTTGGCGCTCATAACTCAGGTTAAAGAGATAAAGCGGCCGCATTGAAGATTAAAAAAGCAAATGAAATTGTTCTTGGCACCTTGCCGATTGATGCCTGGTCGATTGATTGTACTGAAAAAATACCCTGGAGTCAGGCCAATAGGAATTGGCAAATGCCTGTGAAGAACAATTTGCCGAGGCCACAAAAAAAGGACCTTGAAGAATGATGTAGTTCACATTAACAGGCCTGTGACTTAGAGACAGGCATCAAGGGAGCAGTGCACGCTATGAAAGAAATCTTCGATGGCAACAGAGAGGTTGAACATGGGCTTCTACTCACTAACGCTTCTAATGTTTTCAAATCATTGAACCGTTAAACTGCATTATGGAATGTTAGAGGGTTATGGCCCAGGTGTTTTACCTTTCTTTTCAAAAAATACAGAAGATATGCATCGTTGTTAGTTGCAGGAACAACAGATGTTCCTCATAGCTTTGAGGGACTAACACAACGAAATCCGCTGGCTGTAATATTTTCTGGTGTTTTTCTGATGCCTGTGACCAATTCACCCGAAAAATCAGACGGGCAATCGGCAAAAGTGGTACGCAGATGACCCAGGAGTTTTTGATGAGCTGAAGAAATTGGTTAATTCGCTGACACTCCTGATTAAGAATGGGCCAAACCTTGGTTACTATCTTGAGCCAAGCAGGAGCTACTTGGTTGTATGTACCAATTGGTTTGATAAATTTCATTGTTTAATTGACAAGTTCCTAAGCAAAATAGAAGAAGGAAGATAGTTGGGTGGGTATGTTTGTTCAGGAGAAGAGATGCAGAATTGTATTGGGTAAAAAATCCAAGACTGGATGGAGTGTATCGGTGAGTTATCAAAAATTGCAGAGAAAGAACCCCAAGCTCAACTGGTTGTTTTAACGAGATCGTTGCAATGTGAACGAAACTTTTTTTACAGAGTGGTTAAAGATACATCACAGTTATTTTTCTCTTGAAAAGATGTTGGAAGGAATATTTCTGCCCATTTTGCTGGGATTCTCTAGTTCACACACACGGATCGCGTTCTGTTCTCACTTCCAGCAAAATGAGGAGGTTTGGGAGTGTGGAATCCAGTTGAAAAGGCCATTAATTTTTTTTACCTTGTGAAAAAGTAAAAACATCCTCTCTTGAGAATTCTACGTCAAGCCAGAAAAATTTTGACCATCATGAGTACAAAGCAAAACTAAAATAAGCAAGGAGTAACCATGAGTAGCAAAAGAATTACTTGAAAAGAAACAAACTGGAGGAAGTGCTTGCTGTTTTGCCAGCTGATCAAAAACGTGCAGCGTGTAGAACTACAAATAAAAGCTGTTTTCAGTTGTTGACTTCATTGCAGCTGTCAAAAAATTTTTTCGACCTTTCAAAGACTGAGTTCAGAGATGCTTTGGATATTAGATAAATGAAACTTCTATTGAAAGCGTACTTCACGTGTGATGGCTGTCCACAAGAGGTCGATTTACAATACCCTCGCTCTTGAAAAAAGAAGTATTAGTGGCATTACCCCAGAACAAAATCTTGAGGAGATCTGGCTTCCATGCTCTGGAAAGAAGTGAAACGAGAACCCATTATCAAAAACGAAGATGTTGAACGTGGTACCCCAGCTTTAGTTGCGGATTTATAGCTCGTTGTTTTTGGGACGGGCAGTCAGCGGCGTCGTTCGATCTTCGTGTCACAGACACAGATGCTCCGTCTTAGCTGAGTCGTAACCCATTAAGTGTTTTGAATTATGCTGTGGAGAATAAAAGAAAATCTATGTACCAGCTTGCGAAGGTTGGCATATTTCATTCACTCCACTTGTGACATCTGTGGATACAATTTGGGCATCCGAGTTTACCTTCTTTTAGAGGCAAAAAGCAGAT